ATTTTGATGAATAGTTTTTATGGTCGGTTGTTGTCTTATTTTGATGTACGCAAGTTTGAATTCACAGTCATTTTCTTCTTAACTAGTTAATCCAAGAATAGTATTTCGGTGTTTACCAGTTAGATGGCATAATTGCTATCTTCTATTCTGCTGTTAATTAGGTAACAGGTACTTTGTGTGGAATCCAACTTCATGATGGCAAATCTGTCGTCTACGTATCGGATCCGTTGTATCGGTTTTATACGGCTTCTGATGCGGACGGAATGGAGTCGAAATCAAAGCACCATGATTTCGGGTTACAATTAAGCATAGTTTTCATTTCATTTCGTCGGGCATACTCTTCTTAATTTTTGAACGTTCAGCAAAATATTTAGCAATCAACTACAAATATTAACTAACCATTTTGTAATTCGCCGTATTTAAATGCTTATGCTTGAATAATGAAGAGCGCAAAATTACCGCCTATGGCGCTTAGACAAGTAATTTTCGATTGGAAACGAATAAAGCCCTAATACAGATTAACACTCTTGAACTAAAAATTCAAGTTTAACATTCTTGTGCTGCTAAATAAAAATATACTTCATCAACCTCTGGCTAATTTTCTAAGCATTTAAAATATGCAGTTATATTTCTCCGATATTCTCTGACTAACTTGGACTCACAACTTCCGTATTGCTCCCTGTCTATTAATTCTGCAACACCAATAACATGCAACTCACATTAGCCTTGATGAATATCCTGGCGGAAATCACAAACTCGGAAACCTCGTAACGAATTCAGAACCGAGTTCCTGAACTACATTTTTATACCTCCTTCGGTTTGTTGCAGAAATCCTGTCTTATCAAAACGAGAAAACAGCAAATGAAAACTTTTGATTTGTATTTTAGAGAAGCTTACAAAATTGCACACATGAAATATCAAGTTGTTATAGAAGTGAGCGTCAGGAAAAGCAGGGTACAAAGTAATGTTCTCGAGTTACACATTTAATGGCTCATCTTCTCTAATCAAAAGGATCTAACAACTTATAAATGAAGATAACCACGAGAAACGTGATTGGGCATTTGCTCACAGTTTTTGTAGCTAAAACACGAGAGAGGCGACATAATCATTGTTGCGACCGGAGCAGCGGTAGCCACACATGGAAAAAAAGAATGTTCGAGTTTGCAGCGTATTGTCACGTATAACTCCTGTTATTCTTAAATTATACTTTGCGATACACAGTAACTGTCTACTAAACGTGATTAGCTCATTTGTGCTATCGAAACTGCCGGCCTGCATTTTCTGCTGGCTAAGGGAAATGTGGCACCGATGATCTCGAAATCTACATGGCTTGCTCCAAGCAACTTACTTCCAAAATCAATCACATTACACAACGCAAGTAAATGAATTTCCTAAATGATCTATCCATCAGTTCACCACAGGGAGGCGCATTCATCAGAGAATTCACAAGGATAAATACCATTACAATCAAACTATGCATATGTTGGTGAATTTGAAGTAACAAGAGAAAATACACAAAAACTTATGAATAATGGCTAAACTCTCATTATCCTGGAAGAATGACTAGGTAAAGCATGGAAAAGTAAACGAACAGAAAACTTTGTAAGTAGAATAAATATAAACCCACGATAATCACTGTTAGAACGCAATAATTCAAGTCATGTGTGCGTATAAAGTGACAGCAAGATAATTGCTAAACATGGTAAAAAATCATCGCATATTACCGGAAACAGCCAATGAACTTTGGACAGCTTTTCATGATTTTACAATGAACAATGAACGTTGAATTTATCCGGGATACGAAGCGTTGCTTTACAAGTCCCGTTGGAGAGTCGGCTGGCATACCGAAATAACGATAGTGATAGTAATGATAGTAAAATAGTTATTTAATCAAATAAGAAAATAAGGACTTATCGTTTGCTCCTCCGTTGTCCTGCAATCCACTTAGATTCACAGCATCCACAGTTAACATCAAATAATTCCACGTTATACTTCAGGCGTAGGATGGAGACGCAGTGCTAAGTGATCAAGTGTAAGTGGATGTGCGCATCACCCAACCAACTTTAGATACATTTAATGTCGGTGCAGAGACGACAGGCTCTGGGAGAGCATTCTACGGGTAACAGACACGAATGGAAAAGAAATTTCTGTGGCATTCCAAGCGGCTATATTGTACAGCGAGTTTCAATGTGTGGCTCCCCAGGGTTGTATTGGTGCTGAGTCGCAGTAAATGGTGGCACACATGATGTGAGTCTCACAGAATCAAGTATACCATAATCAGGTCACCACATAGTCTGCGGTCGCTTTCACTGGATAACCGCATTCGTTGCAGCTTCACCTGGTATGAAGGAATGCACATTCCAATTAGGTTCTTATTTGCCCTACATTGTTGCTTCTCCAGTGCATTAAGGTCGTGTTTCAGCCATGGTTACCAGGCCTGAATTGTGTATTCGACATGGAGCGAACATACGCACTGAACATTTGTGGAACTATGGAGCTGTGTATTTGTCCGACGCCCGTCGCATCAGCCGGCGTGTTAGATCCCAGTCTTTGTGGCCATTTTTGATGGTCTGGACCAACCCAAGTTCTTTTGAAGCTGGACAACCAAGTCCCGTTCGACAGCTGATTTTTTCAGCACATTTGTTCCGAACCGGTATGAGTAGCTACTCTGATGTCGGATGTAGATTACCTTGCGTTTACTGACGTTGAATTGCGGTAAGTTTTGGGCTGACTAACGATACACCGTACATAGGTCACTGTGAAGCAGATGCTGGTCGGCGTTCACCTGAATCATGCACCAGATGTTGATATCGTCGGCAAACATTAGGAAGTTTGAATCGATTGCCTGCGCAAGGTCAAGAATAAACACAAAATAAACGTGGACCTAGAATTAAGCATTGGGGCACACCACACTACTTGTATGGGGTCCGCTATAGAGCTCCGAAATCTGAGCATTAATTTCTGTTAAAGTATAAAGTTGGCAATCCAGCTTAAAAGTGGGTCGGCGGTCCCCTAATGCTGGAGCTTGGAGAGTAGTATCTGATGGTTTAAACGATCGAAAGCTTTCGAGAAATAACGGTAGATCACAACAAGTCCTTCTCCAGCGTTAGGTGACTCGGTCCAACTAGCGTGTGCAATTAGTAAAGTCGCCGTACATGATCGCTGTCAGGGGAAACCGTGCTGCTCAGACGCGATGATGTTACAGATTTCCAGATATCACAGCTTTATATACGCCGGGCATCTTCGTAGTGCCTTTTTACCCCTTTGTTTAGAAGAGCAAATGTACGTGGGTTATATAGATGCAAGGAAGCCAGTCTTATCGATGCTAACATGAATAATGTGGGTAATAAAATTCTTTTGGCAAAAGCCGTCATACCGATTAACCGATAAATTCAAACTACAATACTTGGCGCCATTTTGATTGCTACACAAGGAGGGAGCTACAACGTTTTCAAGAAGTAACATTTCTAACAGGAAAAAACAAATTAGGTAGCATACATCCGAAATTGGCAGGCAGCTGACTGATTTATAAGATGATTTAGAAATTTTGGCGTGATATTTAACATAATATGTGGATACTAAATCTAAAGAGCGTATTTGGAAAACGTGTTCTTCATATTCAGTAAATATGTAACGCTGTTATAATGCTTAATAGAGGAAACTTACGGATAAAGTGAATCGAATATTACGTTATTCGGATGCGTAAAATTTCAGTTAAATAGCACAGAAAAAAGGAAGACATGACCCAAATGCGAGTTGGGGAAAATAAACGATTACTCTGTAGTAGTATAATACAAATGCTCGAGCACTAGGTTTTTGATTCTGAATTCAAATGGAAACGTAACTTTGCATTTCCTGTTGAGAAAAATTCTGAGTAGCTTCACATGGTCGAGCAGCGCCATAGCAAAGTAACCGTAAGACAAAGCAGTTAAAGCACACGCAGCTGATGCGATTGGAAAATAGTTAAGTGACCAACAGCCAATAAAATAGTTTGGAAAATATAGAGCAGGGAAGCACGGAAAGCAAATTTATTATAAGGTCTGTTTGATGCGACTTTTTGTGAATACTGCTGTCGTCTTCCGCTGTCCGGTTGATGCAATTTGATTCCACGATTGCAGAATGGGATTTTTGCTGATAACGGAAGTTTCCGATACAGTTTATCGTTCGATGGTTTACAAAATAGCATAGAGGCAATTAACACTCACCTCCATTGGTGGTTTTCGTCGAACTAGTTGGGGTAGTCCTGATTGGCGTTGTACCCGTCCCGGTGGTTGTGGTGACCTCCGTTATAACTAGACACAGAAGAATTGAAAGCATTGCAGAAGTAGTGGTTTTGAAAACAGCTTCTCCGTTGTCAAAAATAAACGCGAGTTGTTAGATTTCTCATAGCCAGTGATAGAGATGGCAAGTTTCAGCGGTTGCTTACCGTCAAGATTCTGAGATCATCTTCGATCAGGATCTTTTCTAACCTGATGGTAACCATCGTCAAAATTTGTCAGATAACTGTGCGTCTTGAAATAATGCCATTGATAATTTCGACCGGATGAACGTTTGATATTGGCTTGAGTGAAAATTCATGTTGCGTTCCTTATGCTACCAACTAATTCGCAACAAATTGTTTTACTCAATACGTTAGCTAGTGAAGTACTCCTATCCCAAATGTTTGTGAGGCGGGAAGTTTACTTAGCCAAACGGGAGAAAATTCGCTTCCAGTTTATCCCCAGAAAATACATAAAACTAGTTTATTAATAATTATATCTGAAGTAAATAAAAACGGGGTGTATTTCTTGACGGATCAAGGCACAGTCCAACTAATTTTCCTGGTCATTTTGCACAACTTAATTTGCTATGTTGCCTAATACGTCTTTCAGTCCTTTAGATTCATGTAAGTTCCCAAACTGTTTGGCTTGGCTGATTTATCGGTTTCCAATTTTAAATTGATGGTTTGGATTACGCTGATATTAATTGCACATAATTCTAAATGTGCTAATATGGTAATACAGCCAACCACATAATCGTTTCATGGGACCTGCTTCCAACGGTCTAGTCCCTCAAACTGGTATATCCCTAATTCCTTCTCGGCTCTGACTGTGCGCTCTTGTGGCTTTAAAGCAGACTTGCCCTCACCGATTATACTTAATCGTGGGCTCTTCTAAAGTTCAAATATACATGTATACGGATATGGATATTTAGGCTATATAGCCAAAATAAGCAATAGGCTTTTTGGGATAATGACCGTTATTACTCGTGAGGGGGTCCATGGTACCTTGCGTCGCATGGGTACACCGCTTAATTAAACGGTGATGCGTGTGGTGTGTGTGATGGATAGCGTCAAATCGGGCTGGGATTGATTTCTAAGTTATAATAACTGTAAAATTACATGGTTTAAGACGGCTGAACATGGCTGACAAAATGCACTAAAGAAACCTTATTACCTCAACCTTAGCAGTCTAAATAAATAGATAAGGTCACAAATGGGTAACTAATAAGGAAGTCATTTGGCCACTGTAGTATTATCGACCGTATGAGTCGTCTTTTACACATAATTTCGGCTTCAGATGGAGGCTGTAAATAGGCTCTGCGATGGACAATAGTTGCTTTCGGAATGCTTGCGAGAAGCGTTCAGGTGGTAAGTGGATGAATTTAAACTCATTCGCAGATGCAGCATAGCCACATTCAAGGAGGTGCGATATGACTGAGCTATTTGAGGAGCACATTTCGCCTTTATAAATACATACCGGGATGTGCGCGTGAATGCTATTTGATAAGCGTCTGGTTATGCGACCCGCGTATCGTGCACCACAGAAACAGGAGTACTGATAAACGAGCCTTGAACTGAGCAACCAGTGCAGGCTACATTTCAAGGGTTTTGCACGTAATGGCTTGTTGTGGTAAACAATTCTCATTTATGGTTTTGTGTACCTTTCTGCTGCATTAGTCATCCGAGTTGCGGATGACTTCTGCGTCCAATAAATAATCGGTTACCGTTTTCGTGTTCACAGATGAAACGTACATTCTCATTTGCTTCATTAAAGGCTTTCAGCAACTGTTCCGCAAGCTTTTCGGATTCGCTAAACTGGAATTGGTCATCGACATGGCCAAAGTACATTTCACTTCCGCAAATCCGTGTTCTGAGTGTGCCATGTACTAATTTATCTGTAAAGTTATCAGCAAACAACTGCCCAAAAGGAGATCCCATGGCCCCGTCAATCTGACGGTTGACATCAACATTTGAATGTGAATTGAAAATTTAACGTGCAGTGAAGTAGTATCTCCTTTATCAAATCCTCCTGGAAAGTAGCGTATATTGCCAGTTGCCGGGTCAGCACACACACGTTATCCACTGTTTCGAGCAGTGGAGGGTTAGTAAACAGCGACTGGGCATCAAATGATATCATAATTTTGTCAGCAAATTCTAGTTCTGATGGCTTCCCAATGATTTCGAAGGTGCCTCTAGCGCACTAAGTGCAAAACGCATCAAAGTACTTTGTACTCGGGGATTGCGAAGCACTCGGCAAAGAACCGCAATCATATGCATGACAACGCGACATGGGTGGCTATCCTGTTAATCCCTATACCTCTCCATGATCTCTCCACCTTCTCGATAACTTTCGAACGATTCCCGCTGGAAGCGGATATAATGCACCATACAGGACTACCGAAGCCAAACCTGAGGAGCACACTTAGGAAAATGGTAGCAGTTCATTGAGACGGATTAATTGACCACATGGGAGATATTCTGTAATATGCTGCTTCCAAACCGATGGACTGGCTGCAAAATGCCAACCAAAAGAATAGAATTTGCCAACGAATGGCATAGGCCCTAAGCATGTAGGGAGTGACCGTGTTCAGCTACTCTATGATACTGAGCTTGGATTGGAAGGATCAAGAACACTTCTGACTGGATCAACTGCCAGGCATGATTAGAAATTACACCTCATGTTAGACATGTGTGGTTCTACTTCAATGATGAGAGTTTAACCGTGGTTAGCTATCTCATTCTGCATATTGTATTTGCATTTATTTTGTGCCCTTCCGTTAGCGTGAGACGATGTGCCACGTGTTAAATATATGCAAGCATCTGTCCATTTGCAATTATTATTTGGATACTGCTGAGTAGTAGTGAGGATTTTGGATGTTACGACAGCAATAATAAAAAATTGTTTAATAGGATACGCTGCGTTGCGTGCAAAAGAGACGCAATTTACAAGGTCATTTGGTTCAAGGGAAAACGATCAACAACGTTAACAAGACGAGACTAGTCGTAAATACAGCCTGCTTGCATAAATTGGGATTTGGCCGCTAAAAATCTAAAGCCTCGGCAAATTGAAGCAATCGGGTCTATTTCTGAAGGTTAATTACTTTAAACGAATCAGGAGGAAGCGGGAACGTAGTGCCAAGATGTATTGCGCAATGGAAATGGCCAGCCGTTTAGGACCGTTAGCGCACACGTTTGATGGAAGTTGCTCTGAAATCTTAGTGGACAGACTTAGTAAGTCCGACATGCTTCTTAACACAAGTATATTAGAAGAGATAAAAAAGTGGCCGTAAATTGAGATTGTGGCTTGTTAGTTCTACAGAGTAATTTCTTAACTTAGTGCGATAACACCGGTTTGGCCGCGTGACAACTTTTCATGGGTTAACTATATTGTCGTTTAAGAGGTAACAAAATGATGGAATATTTGGACACCGAAGCCGCCAGGCAGTAGCTAAATGTTATTATGCGGCCAAGTAGGTGTTATAGCAATGGACAAGCCGCACCCTCAAGGTACCGCATCCTGGTAGTTCTCCTCCACTCTTCTTGTGGTAACAAGTACCTTGACCGAACTGTGAAGTGTCTGTTCACTAGTATTTCAGAGCCAATTCTACGAAACATGTTCGTTAACGGTCCTAAGCTGCGGGCTAGCTGCAACGCGCAACATATCCTGGACTTCACTACGTGCCAACTTCTTTGTGATTCCTTTAAATATTTAACTTCAGAGCAATGCTCGATTGAAGCGAATGACCTTATACATTGCTTCCATTTTAGATGATTCGAGATATTTTCACGGTATGTATGTAAACAGCTGTTGAGAATAATCGAATTCAGTGTATCCTGCTAAAATATTATATATTCACCCTATCTTAATTTGTGAAGTGAAAATCTCGAATGAATTTTCCAATATAAGTAAAAAAGCCGAAATGATTTCTATCTGTACAATCCTTTTATTAATATTAAGCACAGCATATATACCCACGTATACCCATGTTCACAACTTCATCACTTTCCCTGTAATTGCCATTCTTCTAAGTAGTTGCGCGTCTAATTGCATTATTTTCTTCATGTGAGACTTCCACAGACAAACCGCACAACCTTAGGGAGAGACTAATGCAAAGTCATGGCGATGCTGGTCTCAAAATCCTTAGAAAATGACCGAAAGTTGTTATAGCTCCTTTTTTATTAAGCTTTACTAACAGTTCGATGCTGATGTATCGATATAATATATATATGCAACCTGCAGTGTTCGTTATCATCCATCATTCGTTTCATATAACACACCATGGATAATATCTCCGAACGCAATGAACGTAGCATGAACATTTCAGACGTTGGTCGTCCTTATGAAAAAACAAGTTATCTTATATAGGAATCAAAAGCTACACCGGTAATGTCCATCGTTTTATATCCATGAGCTATACCACTGATTCCCTGCAATAATTCACTGATATTAAGATAATTGAAGAGCATGAAAAATATTTAATACATTAGACCCTGTTCTATTTGTGCTCAGTTTTACACAAATTTGAGAGATGGGTTTTAATGTTCAACGCCTTATCCCAATTATGTTTGACGTAGTCCCGGTTGATCAGTAAACCCCGCAATATTACGTTGAACTGCCACCAACGGATAACGATTGAGGAATCCTCCATCTGTGTGTCCCCGGTAGGAAACATTTGGCCATAAATGCTGATGGTTTGATTTTGGTCAAACAGTGACCAGTGTATCCCGAAATGTTTTGAAGGCACTTTACAGAAGCGTTCCGACACTTTCGTATGAGGAACCCGGGATGTGGCTTCACTGATGCCGTAAAGCATGCCATCGCTTCCGGCGATGTTAAACTGATGAGATGTTTAACTAGATTGATTACAATCTAACAGCAGAGAAGGAAAAAAGTCGTTTATCGATCATTCGCCTGAGAAATATACATTCCAACTCCCAACCTACTCATGCACATTAACTATTAATCCCGTGAAAGTGGATGATACCAGACGGTTGTATGTGGACTATAGACATCTCAAGCGACAGAACCAAGAGTACGTTATGCGCCGTTCCATAAACGGTGTCCTGTTCGACAAGTTGGTTAGCCCATATTGTTTTATCATATTCGACGTTGGTTCCGGCTACTGGCAGGTAGAGAATGTAGAGATAAATCGGTAAAATTTGTCCTCATACTGATATGGCCTGTAAGATTACCGCAAAATAAACTTTGTGCTACCTAGGGGCCACTGCGATGCTTTTGTATATTATGTGGAATGTATGATATAAGCTGATTCTGCAGAAGTGGCTCCACATGCTTGGAGGTTAGCTTACATTGGAAAACATGGCATAAGCGTAAAAATAACCTGGCAGTAGTACCGAAACTTCTGGTCTCATTGTGCCTCAGGTACAAACTATCGTTTTGTCACTTATTGTATGAGGAAGTGTTATATTTACAATTCATTATTTTTGTAGTCTGACATACAAAGTAACCCAATGAGCAGATGCATGTGAAGTCTTGTCGGGGAACTTCAAGCCATAAATGCTTACTTACTTTAACCGGATTGCCTTCATATTATTGGCGATTAATCAACGTATTTCAGCGATATCCGCCCACCTCAACGCATTAGTAAAAGGGGCTAAGGCTTTTGAATAAGGCATCCGATTCTAGAAAGTGTTCAGCGGGCGCAGTGAGTCTCTTTGCGCAGATACCTTGCTGTTGTGCCTGGCTTACAACGTCAGATGCCAATCCAGTTTGGACACTAATGGGAGCGACAAGTTGCTTGGACCCATTTTGGTGCGGAAAGAATCCGAATGAATAATAATGCTCTGTATCCTGGCAGCGCGTGTCTCAGCTTAAGAGAATTTTGTTAGTCATCCACTAAAATGTATAAGCTTATTCTAATTTTTTTACAAAACAGATTTGGCTGTAGCTGTTTGGCAAGAGCTTCGTGGAACTAGTTGATCACTAGTCCCTTCAATTGTCACGAAATCTTATGAATGCTATAGGACAAATCAAGCATTGACATCAGCAGTTGCATTCATATGACATCATTTAAATCTATCAGCCGTTTAGATTCATACTAGCGCTGTTTCTTTCGGTGCATACACGTCCTCCTATGGGGCACTCATCTTATCCGGACGAAGTTGGGTACCTCACACTGGAACAACCTGCATTCTACCTTGATCGATGGTAAAATATCAAACTACTCCTAACACGAGATAAGTGGACTAGGGCAGCAAATATTATTGTGGGAGTTCCTATATCTATGGCGAATTCTTCAAGCTATGCGACAGGTTGCACTACTGCGTTCCTCTCGCCATGCTTTTGAGATACATCACTAATGATTTCCTACCGAGGTGGATTACAACACTGATGTTCAACAAGCCTCCTTAGATAATATTGCGTGAATCCGTGTCCGACTCCATCCAATTTGTATCAGATGAGTGAGCATTATTACAAAAACTATTTAATTTGCGCTGGCGATACTGAAATTTGACAACCTACCAAAGTGACAGATAATTGCGTGCAACATTAATGAGACTATGGGATTGGGATTGTGGATTTGTGGATTGCACATTTTTTGCCCAGAATTATCTTCAGCTCCACATACGTAAATGTTGGGTGCTGAATTTACGATGCTACTTGGCGTTTACTTGTAATCTGAGCAACAACCATCTACAGCATTGTACTCGTGAAAAGAATCGCTGGCTGTATGTTCACGAGAAACTCAGATGTTACCTCCAATCCTAAAAGTAGTCAAAAATGGCGTCAAAACATTGGGCTCCTACAGAATGTTTCCTATATCTTAGACACATTTATTTCCACCTCATAAACATTTCGCTCTATGCATACAGTCGCGTGTAAAATATGTAGTTCAGACGTGACAGCTATGACAGAGGTGAGATTACACAGTTTACGGTCCAAATACTTCCAAGGGCTGATCCATTTGCTTTACGCACAGGGACTGATTGTGCCAAGAGGTTTAGTTGGATGCCATCACCATTTGCTTGGTGAGCTAATCGTTGATAAACGGATGTCATTCATCTATATTCCCGCATGGTATCAGCTGTTAACTTCCCACTGCAACATGAACATTAAGTGCCAAAATAAACGACTGGATAAAAATACAGCTGCTTGGATGATCTACAAAAGTTTTTCTCCCTATGCGTTTGGCCCACCCGGCGTTCCCTACGATATCAGTTTCTCAGACAGTATGCTAGCCGCAGTTAAAGTGCGAAGGCCGCATTATAACGCATTAAATAACAAACATGACGTTTACGAAGGCCAAGAAAACGGAACATGCAAGTCCACGCAATATTTTGCCGGAAAAATTAGTCAATAGGATTCTAAGCCGCAAGGAGCCAAGTGCGTACTAGCAGGTAGACAAACATTTCACTGGCATATTTATTGTTAAATTCTGGTCATCATTTATAGTTTTTCCTCGTTTTCTGTATTGAACACCTGTCCAAACTCTCAGTCTGAATTGTTAAGCTTCTCATATTACATCCCTAATTAACCACTGTATTTGAGCATTAAACATTGAATCTTCAAAGATTTATGAAGGCAAAGTGTCATGGAATGAGCAATTATGTTTGAAATGAAACATTCGATCGATCGATATATTTGGAACATTGGCCGAAAACGAACACAGATAATGTGAACAGTACGATCAATGTTTATCATTCAAACAAATAGATATTTTGAATGGAAAAAGTTTGACAGGAGGAAATGACGTAGACAAAATAGTAAACGGCCTACATAATGTAGGTGAATTAAAATACACTTACTCTCTGAAAAAGAGGCATCAATATTTGTCAACTCCGCTCCAACATATGCCTCTGTGTACACCACCGTCATCGTATTGCTATTGGAGACGATGCCGCTTTGAGGAATGCTGGAAGTACGAGAAAGCTCTGAGAGCATAAGGCCTCCACAGGTGCTTCCGTCTAACACACGCAACAGAGGGTTGAAGGCTGCCAGCTGTTGAGAATGACATTATGATTATGTGATAGAGAGCTGGGAAATAATGTTATTTAAAGCAATTAACCTAAATGGGTTCCATTACTGGCAACATAGATGCAACTTCTAAAAAGGTGTTCTACGAATGTGACTTACTGTATTTGTTCAATTTAGGAGTGAAGCGCTCGTTTGCCAGCCCTATAATTTTGTGCTAAATGTTAACTAAGATTTTTCACCTCATTTGGTCTCACGTCTTCGGAATTATGCTCAGTCGATTCGGATTGCCGAACTCTATTCAACGGGATGAATGATTTTGATTCAGGTTCAACGACAAGCAACACACAAACAATGTCTTCGGCAATTCAGTCGTTTAGACCTACAGGTGCAACCTTGCTTTTTGCGTTCCTTCAGTGAGTTCCTTCAGTGAGTTCTTTCCAGGTTACTAGACAATATATAGTATCCGATTGTGCAACACCATCCAGCGTATCTGCTGGTTACTTTGCCGCCCTACATCTAACACTGCAATAATTCATCCGTGTTTCTGCATACGTCCTTGTGATTTGATCCGCCGGTGCTACAAGTGACGTTCCACTAACAAGCCCGCTGGCACAGCGGTAATCCCGGCTGACTGGGGTAAATATTAGCTTTGTTAACAATCGATGTAACCGGAGTGCATACGAAGCATTGGCCCATGTGCGTGAGAGGTTTGTTGCCTAGAAAACCCGTGAACAACAAGCTGTAGTTCAAAACAGAGAATCCTAGGATGACGTGGTCGCAATCAGTCAATTCCTATTATGAAACAACCGTAACTTAAATGGATAGAGCAGCGTATGAGAACGCTTTGGTAGTTCTGTGATGCACGTTCAGATAGTCTTATGTTTAGGATTGCTCAAACCCTTGTAACGAGATGCGAAATAATGGCTGCTTCGCCAGCCGAGCAAAAGAAACATGCCGTGGTAGGGAGAATGCAAACCGCTGGATTCGAATTAAAGTGCAGTGTATTACGCATCCCCAATCATAAAATTGTTAAAAGATAGAAATCCACTGGCAAATATGCCACATAATTTAGCGGAAGAGGAATTTATTAGAATAATGCAGCAATCCCTGCAGGAAAGTTGCACGGTCTGCAAAATGTTGAGAAATTTTGCATGGCAATAAGAATAATACAGCAATGGCAGTGACACGTCCGTTCTTCTATGGGCAAAAGCAATTCACCAGTAGAGATGGGATGACTAACACTGTTGCACATAAACAGTCTTGCGTACGACTTCACCTGTTTTCACGATGCATGATGCACAACAAATATCTACCTAAAACGTTACTATGCAACCGAAAGGCGATACACCTGATTTGTCCAAACGTCCCAGAACCCTTCAGCCAATTTTTAAATGGCAGATAATCTGAGGAGCAAAACCATTAGGTTAAGATTAGCTGATTAGCTATTCGTCCTCCAACTCTGACACACCTTTTGAAATCCATCATCTACGCAAGTAGCGGAATATTGGCCATTGCTAGAAAACATTAGCTAAACTGGGGACCTGGATGATGTTCCCTTAACAAGCCACAACCTAGTGAAATTGTCTGTTCTTGCATTTTTACAAGCAAGACATGGGCAGAAATGCGGAAGCTGAAGTCTGACCCGAGTGCGCCACGCCAAAATAAGAGGAAGTCAGTGAAACTGGTTCATGGTGTACCGGAGTTGAAGCGTGCCGACAATGAGAAACTCGAAACACGTCAGTCAAATATTTAAGTATATCACAAAGTTCTGTGACATGCAAAACGGTCTGGTCTCCTACGTCAACCATCTATTTGCCTACAAAAACTACTCCGGTGGCGAACCAAAATGCTAGGAGTTACTTCGGCTATGTTCGAAGTGGTATCAATAGAGATCAACACTTGGCACGACAACAACAGAAATGGGCTACCAAAGTACGGTTAATATCATTCATTCAAGCGGTAAAGACATTAAATTCTGAGGAGGCAGATTCGCTTTTCCTACCTCAGATCAGCCAACCGAGCATACAACGGTGCCCAAATTGTGCCGCTCAAATTGAACCCAGTTCTTAATACGTTAAAAAATGCAATGCTGCTACACCAACTCTCCCAGGTTCTACTCTAAGCACCATAACTACACCATTGACTTCAATCAACTTCTTGGGTAGTGATAGAAAGACAGGTAACGTGGCTTTTAAAAGACTAATTAGGTCCAGGAATTAAACACAGTCATTTGGAATCATCAGCAATCTAGCGGTGGGGACTTGCTGTCTACTACCGTGCGTACCTGAAATATGAGGCCCATATCAAGCAATTCCCTTATATTTCCGACGCAGTATTTTGCAGATTGTAGCCAGTAGGTCGAGATGGCTTATTTCAGAAGAATACGAGTCTACAGTCGCCTGAAACTTTTCGCATGCAGCGATTATTTTCTGTTACGCGCTATCTACAATGCCGCTTCAAAAAATGTGGCCTGCTGTATTATAAATTTGCAACTTCAACTTATCATCAGTAGTAATGGTATCTCGCTGTGGATCATCAGTCAAATCAAAACTGGTTGAGTTCATGCCTACGGCAATTTTGTATACTCATATGCATCTAATAACCAAACACCGCGGTCTAAACAATCTACTACCGTTGGACTTAATTTGGACTGATGCGCAGTTGCTGATTGACTCAGTCACATATGACCTTCTACTTGGCAGTAGCGACTGGTCACTCCTAATGTATGACCAATTGAATTATGCTAATATGGTTAAAAATGAACGCACAAGCTCCGAACAAACTTCACAAGGTGCCAATTGCTGACCATGCGCCGCCGCTTCATCAATACCCAGCTACTAAGCAACATGTCATGAAACCAATATGCAGTGCAAGTGACTTGGCATTATCGCACAAGAATGTCTTGGCAATTAGCTCCGATGTTCGAAAGCAGCCGACTTATAGATCGAGGCCTTTGAGGAGAACGTCCGACAAATTTTAGCAACGCCTGGTGACCGTGATAAATAATTAGTATATTCGTCTACGCCTTTGAATATGCAGATAATGTTCGACGGCTACGGCTGAAATAATAAACTCGTGTCTTGAACCAGCACCAAAGACTAGCCACCAAGTACAATAGTGAACTATCCATTCTCTGTTAAAAACTACTCCAATTTTAATTTGCTGGGTTCACCACAAAATGCTTACGGCCTCCTGGAGACCGAATTTTAACATACCGCGGAGTAACTGAGCGCAAACACCCATATAACTCCGTGCTGTCCCTAGCCCCTTCAAACAAAGCCAAGGCCACCGCGTGACGCAGTTAACGAAACACTTCATTTTGGCTCAGAGAAAGTATGTACACTCTCGTTGTACCGGTTTCTACCCATGTGGTGAATACACCAAATATCGCAACTTTCGTGAACACTAGCATTTCAAATAAATGAAAAACGCTGCACAAAATTGTGCAATGTCTCGACAGCTGATATTTGTACTTCCACGCTGGAATGCTGTGATTTACATTTGTATATGTATTTGTCATCTTCTGTGTCTTATACACTTGATTTTTTCTCATCATGCATTACTGGACAATTAAATGCACTCATCGGAATATAACTGATTGAGAGGTAGTCTGTGTTAGCGGATACATAAATGTCGCAGCTAGGCAGCAGTCTATTTGATGGATGAAAACGCAGGTGCAGTTCCACGTGAGTTCATGAGCTCGTAGGTCTGATGGGTTCCCACCGGTAACGGAATACAGGTTTTACAATTTAAATTCCAGATTTGCAACGCAATCAACTCACAGTTAGAGAGTTGAAAATGAGCTTCACTTTTCTTCTAGGAGTTACCGTGATTCGCCAAACGCAGACAACTAGACTTGATGAATTCTTTCGAAACGAGAACTTTCCATTTGGCCCACGCAACTCTCCTCCGCAGTCACCTGCAACAATAAACAAAAGGTTAGGCGGTTTTACCAAGGCGCCGACTTACGATTAAAGGTTAGTATGTGGCACAATATTCCACCGAAATTACGGAGACAATTGTTAATTGCAACATTTTAATGCCAACAGATATTCTTAGGCAAAGCCAGGAAATTGCAATCGTTATTTTGACAGTCTTGCAGTTGCATCGGTGGTGTGAAGATTATCTAAATTTGCGTACTCCACAGTGGAGGAAGAAGCCAATATGATCAAACACGTCCACTGAGACGACAAGTGTTATTTATTCAGCTAATCCGAGGAAATAATATTAAACTTGCTTTTTAACTAAAGGAAGCAAGATCTATCAAAAATGACAGTCTAATTAGGATGACGTGATAGCAGGATATAAGGCAATCGGCCGCTTTGGATGATTAGGTTGAAGAGACGGAACTCAGGCTCAGGTTAGTTTTATGCATGGTGTAGACAAGTATCAACAAAGTACACGACTGTGCTCATGCTGCGACGCATTTCAAAAGGATACAATAATTCCACGGTTTGCAAAATCACATTGGGTATAGCTAAAGCGTGTAAGATATGAGGAGTAAATTGCACGCCGGATTACTACATATACACACCCCGAGACCATCACAGAAGACCTCGAGGCATCTACTGTGTTTGTTGATGTACTGGTGAAAATAATAGGGGATTTCCGCATCTTGTATTGTCATATAACACGCACAAAGCCGACAGAGAATGAGCACATGCCATATAGGGTTGTAATTAGCAAGAGTGAGGGAATGCGTACGATCGTGTGGCGCCAGGGAACCGAATGTAGATAGTGGTACCTCGACACTTGTCAGTACCTATGACTGTGTAGTTAGGTAACGTTGCTTTGTAAACCGTGCTGCACAGTGCATTGTAAACCTGGGTAAACTAACCTTGAGCCGTTTGCAGAGTCGATGCACCTGTGGAAAGACGAATAATGCTCCAGTAATTCCATGGTGAATGCATTTGGCTTTAACGCAATAATTGCACCGCAGTCACAACCAACTTAACTGCCGTCTAACATGCATGATATCATTGATCTTCACTGCAAGCTTCGGTGTTTGGGTGGCATTTTATGGTCATGAACGGGTCATGACTGAGCTTCTATAGTGTACGAGTCACCTAGCTTTTCACGACACAGTTAGTCGTAATCCACATTTGAAAGATAGCAGCTCAATTCCCAACATCACCCAGAACTAAATCATCCAAAACGTAAAGTGGTTTTTGTTTGCTCGGTGAATAGGATCTAATCAGCTTTACTATTCCACTTTTGATAAAAGATAACCTGTAATTAGTTCGTATAGATAGGTCCCTGTTTTCTATGATTCCATTGGCTAAGCGATGGTTTAATGCAAGATGTTTGACAGAAAGAAACGGTGGATCTTGGTTTCTGTCAGTTAATTATATATTTAAAAGACTCCTGTTCAAAATATGGAAACTGCACCTGCGGCGTCCAATAACATATAGACATCAAACCTACGCTGCAAAACGCTTGTATGAATTAGAGTTTGACATGTATTCTAGTATAGATGCGGTTTCGAACGTGTTCAGCAGGTTGGGTGACTAGCAGTCAGTTTTACTATGTCATTTTTGAGATAAACAATGCGGTTTGATTGAAGAATGAATTTGTCACGAGCTCGTTAACTACATGGCGCAGACTTCTTCATGGAAATGTTCACGCATTTCTATCAGACGCGTTTAGCAATCTCGCATATAATAATTTAGTTGAAAATAACAACTCTTCGGCCATACTCTGGACGGCATGCTGACACTGCTTAACTCGTTTACTGATAGAAACGTTGCATAATGAGAAAACCATTTACTTTGGATAATTTGTGTTTAAGATTATTCGTAAAGCTATCAACAAGATGACTTACTCCTTCCGGAAACTGAAATATTAGAGATGTGAACCAGATAAATGTAAAACGCAGTCTCATTGTACCATACATGATTGAAAAGGACGGTTGTTTTCCGATATTGATCAAACTCTGCTTCGCACTGTCGAGGAGATATCGTTCATTTGATTTTATTGTACGTGCACTCTACAAGACATTTTCGCGACACGGAGTCGTGGAGCAAAACTTCACACGGAACCTCTATTCCTAAGATCAAGGTATTCCAAATCAGTGCGATCCCTTCAGAACATGATATTCCTTGCCATAAATGGCATACTAAATTTTATCTGTTCCAATTTCGGCGCAGTAAAGGATACAAAGATGATCCCTTCCTAAACATCTGACGCCTTTCCTTATTCATCGAAATAATTTACTCCATTCTACCTCATGGTGTCCCTAGGGTCTATTCAGCTGACCGTATCCGAACTGCTTCTTTCTTTTCCGACCAAACTATGACCAGATCATGATTTTGTAGATGTGTATTTTATTGCGACGATAAAAAGTCCTTTTACTTAGTTAAGTAGACTCCTACATGCGACGTAGCTTTACTACACACTAATTGTTCCCCTTGTAATTCCACTACTACGAAAATTGCTTAAGTGTCGAATACATGATTTCAAAATTCGTGCACAAATTCCTGTGGGAGCATCATCACGCAACGAATAATTCAATTTCCCAACTGCAGTTTCTCGCTGAATTCTTTGGCTGGTAAATTTATTCAAGTAAACATAAGATTTAAGCACCATGATTGAACAAGTTTGGCAATTTAAACTAACATTACGGATCTACTATAAAACTGTGGTAATGAAAATTTACAAGTTGACATGTAAAATACGAATTGTTGCCAAAGCAACTGGTCTGTCAATTGATGCATCATAGCTTTTGTATCGTCTAAGATAAGTAGCAGATGACAAGATGAAATCGTGATGCAACAAACTCCGAAAATACAGATAGTCAGCTGACGACAGCTTAGATGATATAGATACCGTACTACCAACAACAATATGTGGGAGGTGGTTGGGGTCGTTTGGAGTCATTGACGCATGGCTGAGGCACATATGGAATCTTTAGTAACGACAACTCCAATGACGGATTCTTTGTTAACTCTGGCGCTATATGAAGGTTTGCTTAACGAAAAGAGGGTTAGAAGACTTGCGAGGAATGCGTGATAAAAGGTAGGATTTTGTAAGCTGTGATGGAGCACACACATATAGGAACCTTGAAATTATTTACACGTGAGCTAATGTGGAGACCTGAATAAAATGTAAGGCGTGAACACAGCAGCTGAACAAAATTTGTTTTGTTCATTCAAGTGAAAATGGGATAATGCATTTAAAACGGAAGAATCTTCCGTGAAGAAGAAAAGAGGACGCCATCAAGACGCTTGAAAAAATAAATGAAGGGATATGTGGCGCATGTCAATCACATGAACTCCTCTAATCCTCTTTGGATTTAGGAAGCGTCCACAACTACTGTCGCCATACGACTTTGTACGACGTTCTCAACATATGTACGTTCGATGAAGTGATATTGTGGCCTGACATTCACCTTGGAGCGCAAGTAGTAAGGGGAGTATACCGTAAGCGGTTGGAAGTACGGATGACCTTTTATCACACAGAGTTGCATGATTTCTGTGCCATTTTTAAAGTTTTCGAGCATTCCAGCTCATACTCATAGGTGAATGCCAATTCCGAGCAAATTAAATACTAGTACGAGTCTGTCAATGCTCACAAATTTAATGGGGCAATCGTATACTTGTCCAGCACAGTTACATTGGCATGCACAAACCACGAAACGGCATGCAATATATAGCTCCCTGATTTGCGAGTACACAGTTTGGAATCATCTGTATAATCGCTGTTGTAAATACAAGATAATAGTTGCTCTTCAGACATTGACAGATAATTCGGGGATACTATCCTACGCCCTGGTGTTTGCTGGCTGCTTTCTGGATCACGGGATGGTAACGGACATCAAATATATTTGCAAAAGATCAGTGTCGGAAGTGACTTTGATGCATCCACACATTCTCGAAAAGAATTTGGTAAAAAGAGATTACGGTCACTATCTTTGTTTGCTCCAGGCAAATGGCTGACATGTGAACATGGTGTAGTCAAACAAGTTCGGAGAATCAGTGGTGGTGATCATTGGTCTACTTCAATATTGGTTCATCAAGCAAGACCTACTCATATACTATGAAATATACTAAACCCAGACAAACAGAGTTTCTAATCCATTTGGAACATACCACATTGGAGCGTTCCATGTTAAACACAGCGCCCTGGAGCAGGCTCAATTTGTAACAATGACACCTGGCCAGAAAACCCCACAAGATAAAAGGAAAAGACTCTCCGCTGTAGACAAAATGTGCGATGTCATAAATAGTTCCCTCTTTGAACTAGTACCGAAGATCTCCTGTCTGCTGTTTATTTCTCACAGGCATTGACTCTAGAGGGTTAACTTTCAGCTGCGTTTCCACTCCATAAGCTGGAAACTGTCCTAGTCCTTATTCGGTCTTTGGTATCAACATTATTCTCTATGGCTCTAATGAACGAATATTTCTATATTGAATTCCGTCGTCACTGTTAAGAACTTATACTTACCAGGCTCATACTAAGATGGAAAAATCGGAACGAACTACAGCAGCTTCTTCAGCTGAACATTGGTGATTCGACACGAGGTCAGAACTGGAAGCTGCTCAGTACGAGGATGCTCAAAGTCCCCACCCCCTGTAACTCCATCCAATCGGGCAATGAATGACTGAAACCGTGCACCGGAGACTTCGTCTGTGCGCAGACCAAAGAAAGTTTCAAACGGCTTTTTGACAGCCATCTACAAAAGAAACCAGGATTATGCTGTTTACTGGGACTGGTCTGGCTGCATAAGAACTGCTGGGTGGCAAAGGCATACGTGTTCCTAGCGATGACCTATAGGTGGCGGGGCCAAAACGGGACCTCCTCTTTGTCAGTTACGACTTACTGAACCAAATGATTCCCATATGTAAATATTCCAACGCATTTCTTGCGAGTAACCTATTCCTAAATGTTCCGATTAAGCGTGGCCTTCAAATTCAGCCGATGCTGCTGTCACTGGATTGCTGCTCTACGCTACAGATTGCCGATCCTTGTGTTTCATCAGCTTATTCTATCCTGCGTTTCAATGAACCAACAGCAAGGTAACCTGAGTTTTCAAAGTACGGTGATCATTTAATATGTCTCCTTGAATTTGTGCGAATATTACGTTGGCAAGCTTATCAAGTTTACAGACGTCAACTATTTCTTTAGTCGCCGGCGACGGGAACAAACTCATTCAACAGAACAGCAACAACTTTACAAACACAAGAAACACACCTACCTAGATCCCTACATTTATGAATCCACACATACGAAAATCTTGTTATAATCGTGCATATTGCTTGAGCAATTGTTGTGGTATCATTATTATAATCATGCAGTTAATGGCGTGTCTCGCTAGCCGAGGATAAGCATTTATTTTTCTATATATTTATTTCGTCGAGTTCAAAAAGAGAAGCAAAACACGAAGCTTTAGGGGAATAATTGTTTTCGATTAAGTCCTCCTCAGACTCATGCCATAATATACATTAGGCTAAGGACTCTTGTAATCGTCAACATAACAAGGAAATAAGTGATCGGAAAAGTTACCTTGTGATCATGATTGAAGTCGTCTTCTCAGATGACTGGTTCTGCATGACTGTCAGAACTACCCTTTCGCTTGTTCGGCTTCACATGTGGTTTATCAATTCAACTGCAGTTGCGGTGATATTTACATAGGCAAGACCAACCGCCGGTTGGCTCATTGGAAGGCTGAGCTCTTGCCAAAGTGGGTAGAACAAATGATAGCTCGACAAAGCATAAGGCCCCACAGAACGAATCGGAGTCCGTCATCATCTATCGCCAAACACCTCTTGACCACTGGTCACCATGTGAACCCCAATAATGCGTTCAAGGTGTTAATACGTAATAGGAACCCGATAATGTTGGCAATCAGTGAGGCGTTGCTAATTA